TATTATGACAGCAATGTTATCAATATAATTGGTTTCCTTAGTAATCCTATGTTTTTTTTATTTTCTACACTGAAAAACATTATTCAGAAAAGGGTCCATAGACTTCATCACACTATCAAAGACATGTCTGGCACAAAAAAGGGGAGAACCCCTGACAAACATTCAGTACATAAGAACTTGTTGTCTGGGCAGCCCAGGTGGCTCAGCGGTTTAGCGCCGCCTTCCGCCCAGGGCGTGATCCTGGAGACTCCGGGATTGAGTCCCGCATCGGGCTCCCTGCATGGAGCCTGCTTCTCCTTCTGCCTGTGTCTCTGTCTCTCTCTCTCGGTCTCTCAAGAATAAGTAAATAAAATCTTAAAAAAAAAAAAAATCTACGTATTAAAAAAAAAAAAAAAAAGAAGAACTTGCTGTCTGCCTGGGGTCCTGGAGTCCTGTTATTTGTACCTAATTATTCTGACTTGCTCAGTCTGAAAAAGTTTTTTTTTTTTTAACTTTTGTTGAGGTCCTTTGGAATTTCTTTTTAAAATAAAACAGGGACATTTTTCTACCCAGTATTACCAGACTCATAACTGTAGGTTCCCCTCTTCTGAAAGAAAACTGATTCTGATTCTTGGTCTTTTCAGGGGTTTGACTCCCAGTGTCCCAAAGCATGAAAAATACTTTGGCTCATAAATCAATTGATAACCGTCAGCCAGAACTGGGCAATTTGCATAAAACCTGCACAATTCCAGGCTGGACCTGGGTCTGTTGGGAGTAGCAGTGGCAGCAGCAGCTAGCATCACTGGGTGCTTACTCAGGTCCTATCATACAGGCGCAAAACACTCTGCACCTCTTAACTGGCTCAATCCTCCCATCAAGACAGTGGAACAGGTCTTTTTATGAGCCCTGTTTCTCAGGTGAGGCAACTCGAGCTTACGGTCATTACATAACTTGCCCTGTTAGTAAGCAGCAGAGACAGATTGGAAAGGTAACAATTTTGTAGTCTGGTGTCAGACTTTGAATGCTTATGGAAAATGGGCATACGTGAGACTGAGGGCAAAACTGTGCCCTCTGTGCAACTGGCAAAGGCAAAGGCAGAGGCAGCGTGGTAACAGGCCACACTGACACAGAGTCCTCTGCCTCCACCCCAGGTGAGGAAGTGTGTTTGGCCAAATTCAGAACCCTGGAAAGAAGGGAGACTGTGCTGGACATCATGTAGAAGAAGCTGGCCATCTGTCAGTGGGTTACAGAAGGAATCCTTCTGCCTCGACCTGGATGATATCACCCATAAACCCTCCTTTCTATGCATGGAAAAGAGGTGCGGTGTGATAGTTTCACAAATGGGATAATTAGTTAGGACTGCTTGCTTTTTAATTTCTGCTTTTCGATTTATCTGAAACAATGATCCACTTTTATAATTCTGAAAACCCAAGACTGATATTTTTAAAGATCCAAAAGACTTCCTTTACAGCCAGGAGGATCCTAGATCTTAGACATATCTCATCAATGTGTTATTGGTTGTCTGATGATCTGTAATTTTTAGACTTTTTTTGGTGGAGCATTCTCTTTGCCCAGGCACCTCAGGTATGTGATAGGCGGAACTTCGAGACTCCTATTGGTTTTCACCAGCAGAGACCTCAGTCTGCCTCATCTAGAGACATCCAACAGAACAGTCTGCTCTGGAATCCAATGACTTTTATTTGGAGTTATGAACTGTTCAGTATGGGCTCTAAGATATACATTTAAGAAACAGGGGACTCTTTCTTGCAAACACTTCCTCAGTGGCTGCATTTAACCTGTCAAGAGAGTCAGGGAGTAAGGACCTTTACTCCATGCATGAACAACTCAGGTAAATAGAAGAGGGTGCTACTGAGCAAACTTTTACCTTGTGTGCTTCAGCTTGTTGCACCAACAGAGAACATCCCTGACCCTTTCTCTAGCACCTTCAGCATGGAGGATCTCCATCTGTCTCCCTACCCCGTAGTACTTAGTCATCTTCCGTGTATGTATGGATGTACCTACCTACCGTCTATGTATAGACGATTTCTATATACTATTTATATACGTGCTACTTTTAAGTGCCACGTATGTAAATTCAATCTTCACAACAACCTTGTATGTCATTTTCTCCTTATCCTAATAATAGCATCCCAAGTTATTATCCTTATTTCAGAAATGATGAAACGGGAGTACAGAGAGGTTGAATAACTTGCTCAAAGTCATAGCATGTGGGTAAACGTATTAGAGCTAGGATGTGAACCCCGATGTGTGGTATCATCCTCTACACATACGGATTCTTGCCTGATGGTTTCTTATTGCCTCATCTTCTTTCTTCAGTTGTTGTGACCTGGAAAGTTTATTCTTTTGAAATAACTTTTCATAAATGGACATCTCTCTAATTGGACTTAAACTGTTCAAGGGCTTAAGTTGGCTCCACCACTTTACCTACCTTAGGAGACTCCCTTCCTGGGCCTCACTCTCCACCTCGGTAAAATGGTGATGATGATACTTGTACTGAAAAGTTCACAGGGGTATTGTAAGGATCTAATGAAGCAATGCATGTGAAATCATGCCACCCATAGCATTCAGCATGGTGGCATGTATATCGTAGGTGCTCAGTTCAGTCAAATATTTATGCTCAAAGATCTGGGGATACACAGAAGACACAAAGTCCCTGTGCTCATGAGCTCTATACTCTATTGGGGAAGAGAAAAATAATTTAAACATCTAGCAAATGTTAAATATGTCAAGTGGTGATCAGTGCTATGAAATAAAACATGCTTCCACTAAAATGTCAAGTTAGTGGAAAATTATACAATGGAATCAAAAGCCAAAACAGCTTTCTATCCTTTACACCATGTCTATAAAGCAGCTGATTATTTGAGAAATCTAAAATCTGAGGAAAAGTTAGAAGTCTTCACACTGTACCTTTGCTAGCTCTGATTCCTACTCAAAATAATGGTTTGGTAATAAAAGCTAACCTTTGTGGGGTCCTTAGGAACCCAGACAGAGAGTTCTTTCTGTGCCATCTTACTTCATCCCTACAGCAATCCTATGAGGTAGGTATTATTATGATTTCCATTTGAAGGATGAAGAAGAGGTTAAGAAGCTTGCTCAGCTAGCAAGAGCTAGTCAGGATCTACACATGGGTTTCTGAGTGCGAAGTCCAAGTGCTGGCTCAAAAGGCTACACTGTCTCCCTATGTGCCTGTTGGTAAGTGTCAGGATGGCAAAATGCCACACATGAGAGAGGTGCTGGGCCTCAGAGAACATATGCCATGGAGAAAGCCGTTTCTTATCCCATCCCAGCCCCAAAGAAACCTAGTATACAACTACAGCATCCTGCCTTCTTCTTCTTTTTTTTTTTTTTAAAGATTTTATTCATTTATTCATGAGAATACACAGAGAGGAGAGAGAGAGAGAGAGAGAGAGAGAGAGAGAGAGAGAGAGAGAGAGGCAGGCAGAAACACAGGCAGAGGGAGAAGCAGGCTCCATGCAGGAAGCATGATGCGGGACTCGATCCCAGGTCTCCAGGATCACGCCCTGGGCTGTAGGCAGCACTAAACCACTGAGCCACCGGGGCTGCCCAGCATCCTGCCTTCTTAATTTATGATGCACTCGAGTCTTCCCTTAAATAGAATAAATAAATAAATAGAATCCATTGTCCACCCCTAAATTGCAGGGCCTGCTGGTGTCATTCCTTTGGAGCTCACCAGCAGACTATGTCACCTGAGAATCTGGAATCTGGCCTTACTTGCCTATATGAACCACTCAGGAAGCAAAGAGATCACTGTGTTGGTGCTTCAGTAAAACCTTTCTTTCTGGGTTTAACAAAAGAGAGAGGAAGTCAGAATTGCCCCCAAGGCATCCGCCCAGAGTGATCTCTTCACAGCCTCCAAGGTCAAAGGATACCACGCATTACTCTCCCCCACACCCACAGCCAAGCAAAGCAAGGACGGTGTAAGGAATTCCCCTAAACAAGATCAGAAGCTCAACTCTGCTGTGGTGGCAGTAGTGTAGGCAGTGGTTACTCAGTTGCTGAATACAAGAGTTCAAAGAAAAACTTGTAAATGTTCACAGCAGCATTACTGACAACAGCCAGAGGGTGGAAAAACTTCAAGTGTCTATCACCCAACAAATTTGGAAAAACAAAATGTGGTATATCCATGTGATGGAATAGTACTCAGCGATAAAAAAGAATGAAGTACTGATTATACAACACCATATTTGAAACTATGCTAAGTGAGAGAAACCAACCACAAAAGACCACAATTGTATGATTTCACTTATGGGTCCTATCCTATACATTTTAACATTCTGCCCCACAACCCAAGATGTGCCAATATTACAGTTTTGCAGATCACAGATGATTTTAGACTGTCCCTTGGCAGTCCTGTTGTCTCCATCACCATAAAAAGCCCTGATCTTCTACAGCATAGTTGTACAGGGAAAATAAAAGGTGGGAGTGAGAAATATTCAGAGTCATATTAAAGTCATATTCAGATGGATAACATATGGACAAAATATAAAATTACTTCTTCTGATCCCAGGTTCCACAATGCTAGGCTAAACTGGCATGAGAAGGGAGGGAGGGACCACCGTATCTCAGCAATATGTATGTGTGTGTGTGTGTGTTTTAACCAAAAGAGGTCATAATTTTTGGGGGGTTACACTATTATAGCTAGCAAGATACTTCCTAATTGTTTTTGTTCTGTGCATATTTGGAAGTATCTAATCTGGTTTCATGCAAAGAGACAAATGGAAACTCACAGATTAACCTTCCTCTATGGCGCCTTGCTCCGATTAGCCTTAAACTGACAGGGAATTGACAGTTCTTCAGTTTCCTTCTGCTTAAATGCTAATAAGCCACAATGGTGCGAGATCAGTATTTCCATAAATCTATTTTTTTTTCCTTACAGAGCTCATTCCAGAGCCATCCCGAAGGCGGCATTTTAATGAACCGACCCCAGCTCAGGAGAACACAAGCAGGTTTCCTGGAGGCTGAGAGGGTCCGCTGCTTACCGCTTCCATCAGGCCCTTCACTGTGGGTGATTTCAACATCAAAGCATCGAACACATCGTCCGTCTCCTTCCGCACATACAAAAGCACTGAAAGAGAAGCAGAGGGGAGGCGTGACTGAGGAGCCCACACAGCCACCACCGCTGCCAGACTGCTTCCTGTCACAAGCGTCAGAGGCTGCCAGCATCTGTGAGGTCGCAGGCTCCTGACGCAGGTGACCCCTCCAAGGCTGACTGCTGCACCTCCATAGATGAAGGGCAGCCAGGGACCCAGGGGCCTCTCGAGGCATAAACTGACAAGTGAGTTACACTCAATGGACTGTGATGCTTTCCCACACTGTTCACATTGGAATTTCTCAAGGTAGGTCTGTGATTGCCTTAGGACATCTCTTTATGCAACCTATGTCATCTTCTATTTATTCATTTGATCATTCAACTAATATTGCCAAACATCAGTCTGTGTACCAGAAGCTGAGGTGGCAGCAGTGAATTAAGACGCCTTCTGCTGTCAAGGAACTCGTAGCCACTTGAGAGGCAGGCAGTCCTCAAATAAGCAGACAGCCAGACAGGGCTGGGTGAGCTCAGAAGGAAAAAGCCACAAGATGGTGCTTACAGGGGCCTGAGATTTTCATGGAGGTGGGAGATGGGGAGAGAGGGCACGCACCTCCTGGCAGACAGACCAACAGGGGCACGGCCTGGAGGGAGCCGGTGCGTGACAGAGGCATGAGGGAGAGGCTCGAGACCTGAGGCACAACAGGCCTGGCTTTGACCCCAGTGTAGCCTACTGCGGGGCCCTGCTCACTTCACCTCTCCAAGGGCTGGTCCACGCTGGACCATGGTGACAATAATATCATCTACCCCACAGGGTAGGGTGGCCATGGGGGTTAAATGAGTAGCAGGTGCCCAGCACACAGCATGCACCGTTCCTCAATCAGCAGAAGCCAGCATGAAGCACCTGTCGTGGTTGTTGGCCCTCGGTGAAGGCGAATGCGGCTTCGTGCTCATTCCCTGTAACATAGCAGTCTCGATCTGATAATGCACAGACTAGGAGAGATGGCAGGGACCCCACACACCCCCACACAGGGAGGAGAAGACGCTCTGTCAGGGCAGACCCTTTCTTACAGAGAGGACATGGAGGCCCAGCTCCCAAGAAAGAACTGGGCCCGCCATTCAGATGCAACCCTACAGCCTGCTGCACCGGTGCTCTCTCTCTCCGTCCTCCAATGCTGTGGCTTCTGGTTCTAACTTCAGAGGGACAGAAAAGGGCCAAGGCTGTGGCCCTGTCCTCCTGGCTGTGACAGGAAGAACGCAGTCAAGAAACCTTCCTGAGCACTGGGTGTTATAGTATATGTTGGCAAATTGAATTTAAAAAAAAAAAGAAAGAAAAGAGGGCAGCCCCAGTGGTGCAGCGGTTTGGCACCGCCTGCAGCCTAGGGCATAATCCTGGAGACCCTGGATAGAGACCCACATCAGGCTCTCTGCATGGTGCCTGCTTCTCCCTCTGCTTGTGTCTCTGCCTCTCTCTCTCTCTCTCTCTCTCTCTGTGTGTGCCTCTATGAATAAATAAAAAATCTTAAAAATATATGGTTTAAATAAATAAATAAATAAATAAATAATAAAAAAGAAAAGAAAAGAGAAGAAAACAAAAGAAACCCTGCTGAGCTTCGGACCAGAGTTAGGTACCCAGGGAGCAACAGTCCCCACCAGGCTGAAAGAATGAACTTGGCACCAGGAAATGAAAGCAGCTCTACCCCAAACTCTCACCCCTTCCCCTACTCCTCCCCGGTCTCCAAGGAGTTCGTTAAAGTTGCCTGCTTTTTAAAGGCAACGTCGACATGAGTTCTGCCTACATTTTCTTTCTGCAGGCAGCAGATGTTCCGTTTTTGTATGACACCAAAGGAAAAAAAAAAACCCGAAGTATTGCAAAGTTTCTTCTCTTTACCAAGTATAGAAATAAACTACCAATTAAATAAACAGATTGAATGGGTCTCCAAAGATTTCAAAATGTAGTCCTTTGGAAGGAATATTTGTGTCTCCATTTCAGCTAAAACCATCTAGTGACCTATTGGCATTATCAGAGGACTCAAGGTTAGTGGCACCATGAGAAACAATTACACCAGAGGACCTCCGTTAAACTAGATGAGGAAAATTAAACCGAAAAAAGTGGTGGCTGTTCCAGGGACCATTCTATCAGTTCTCCCCACAGGTCCCAATAAAAAAATGTCATTTCCAGGAGGCTGACCCCAAGAAAACCCCAAACATGTTCGATTAAATTGAGTATTGCTTCCATTGGATTTACAAATTTCTTCTTTTAAAATCATTGCCTTTGAAATAGTCTGGCTGATACTCTTGCTACAGGCGTCACTGTAAGGGGTTAATGGTGGTACGGTGGCATGTGGATAGATGGGCTGTGAGAGGAAGGCCAGGCAGGGCAGTGCCACACATGAGCATGCTGGGCTTACAGCACACCCCCACAGCTTGCCCAGGGTGGTAGCCTCAGGATCTGTGCATCTGTGGCGGGGCTCACACAATAATCACTCCACTACGATGGCCGTAATAACCAACATGCTTCCCGGACACTACAGGAGAGGCAGACAGCCACAGGGGCCAGCTCCAAGTGACTCCCACCGAGCCACCCAGAGAAGTGGCTACAAAGGCAGAACAACATGGTTTTGGTGATAATTATGATCATTTTCTTTCCTGGAGAACTTCTAATAAACAAACAATAGGAACCACCACTGACCCTGATTCCTCTTTTTTTGTCAAAGACCAGTTCCAACTGGGAGCTCCAGACAAGGGGCTCAGTAACTCCACTGTCCTTTTCCAAAGGAAAGCCACTCCTAGGACACTACTTGCTCTGTCGCTGGTAGCTTGCAGCGCCCTCGTGTGTTTCTGTGATTTAGATGTTTCATAGGCTGTAGACTTGCTTTTTGTCGTAGCCCAATAAAATTCCCAGTGGCAATTTTTGTACTGACTTCACAATCTCAAAATAATGTGAAAAACACAACCTTTGGACTAGCCAGCATGTACTAAATATGGATGCAAGCTACAATTACTTTTGCCTGTGTGATTCTTGATTTCCATATAATTCTGCCTTCATTTTAAAGTATGTGATATAAAAAGCATGCAGGAATGGAGCTCAAACTGCACTTGAATATTTGATGGGGAGCCTGTGAAGTCAATCTTTTAAAGATTTAAATGTTGCTAATGTAATTAACACCACCCAAGTATTTATGCTGTTTCCATTTTGAAACACTAATTACTTATTCACACTGAACAGACATAACTAAATCCAGACCTAATAATAACCCTCACAGCTACAATAGTGAAGAGTGCTTACTATGTGCTAGGCCCCTGAGTTAAGTGTTTTACACATATTAAAGTTCATCAAGCCTCGCAGCAACTCTATAGGGAGGTACTTGTGTCATCCCTGTTTTACAATGAGGACTCAAAAGAGCAAAGGGCCTTCCCAAGGTCATGTAACTCTGAAGGGCTGAAGAGGGCTACAGAGGGGATACTCTTGGCCATCATGCAAATCCCATTACAACAAATAGAAAAGAAATAAAATCTCTCCGTAACAAAAAACACAAATGTTGTGTGGATGGCAAATGTACTTAACATGGTAATCTGACTGATTGAAAGTTCAGTGTGGTATGTCTAAGATCTCTGGTAGCTCTTGGCGTTAGCTACAGCAGGCTATGAGGGAAAGCAGCCATCTCCATGCTTTCCTCTTACTCCAAGAAAGGACACTGAGTCACGTACAGCATCAGCGTGCAGAGCCAAACACTGACCCACTCTCACTTTGTTTCTTACTCTCCTGATGAAGTGGAATAACACCCACAACACAGAGCAAGTGAAGAAGCTGTGATGTCAGAAAACAGGCTCCCTTACTTGTCTGATATTAACTGTGTGCATCTATTGAATGATTTTCAACCACTGCTGCTTATGAGATGCTACTGTCACATGAGCAGCAAGAGTTTCTCTCTGACCTTGGACTTCATGGCTGGCTGAATCAGCACCCTCATTCCATGTCTCCCAAGGTAAAGGAAAGAACCAGTGCCCAGAAAGAATAAGTGTTTGCTTAAGGTGCTTGATAAGGACAGGGTTGAAAGGTCTTCTGTGTGAAGTGCCCCCACCATTCATGATGGGAGGGTGGGTAACCCTGCAATGCCAGAAAGGAGATACCTCGCTTCATTCCTTCTTCTTTCATCTGCTTAGACGGTGCTGGACCAAATTCCTCTTCCATGGGCCTGAACATCCGTTTAACAAGGACACTGCTGCTAGAAAAGATGAGCAGAAATTGTTAAGTAAATAAAGCCTGCAGGGAGTCAAAAGAAAGGTTCATGCGTGTATCTGGCGCTATCTTCTTCCTTTGCTTATACCATCCCTAGTTCTCTACAACCGGATCCATTCAGCAACCTCCTTCCTCCTCCCTGCAGGTCCCAAGTCATCCCTGTCTGGGGGAAAACACACACACACGCGCGCGCGCGCGTGTATCTTTAGGGCATGGACCAAGGACAGACTCCCCATTACTGCATATGGATCCACAAAGATGAGACTCCCGGGTTTTACCCGCTCTGTCCTGCACCTAATCCCCTTCCTCCTCAAAAATCAGGGCTAGGGTGGGGGGAGCAGGAGTGAACCCTGAGGTCTGTGTGATCTCTAAGTTATTAGCTCCTCCTATTGAGGTAGGGCCTGAGTGTCCTGCATTCTCTTGCCAGCCCCTTAAGGGCACAGCAGGGACCTTGAAATGGGATGGGTTTCCCTGGCTGGTTCTAGTTCTGAGGCTGCCCTGACTTCCTGCTGTTCTATGGCTCCGTCTGGTTGGAGCAGATGAGACTGCAGTGGTGCAAATTCTCCAGACCTTGCTGCCTGCAGTGGTGCAAAAGACCCAGACCTTGGCTGCCCAGCCCTTCTCTCCTCCTTGGGAGGGGGGGTTTCAGCATCCCCCGGACCCCACATGGTGCTGAGTCCCCACATGTCCCCACCTGAGGCCCTGCTGGTGGTCCTGCATTTCCTCCCAAAGTTCCTGTCCATTCTGGGTACTCTAAAGAAGGGGAGGAATCTTTGAGAGGAATGGAAATTGGAAGCACAGACTGTCACTTAAGTGAAGTCATTGGTGCTGAGTGTTGTGGGCTGCATGTGTGTGGTCTTCCCAAATTCATATGTTGAAACCCCACTCCCCACTAAGATGTTATTAGGGGTGAGGCCTTTGAAAGGTAATTAGGACATGAAAATAGAGCCCCTGTGATGGGATTAGCATCCTAATAAGAAAGGACTGCCATGCCAGACACTAGCCCCTGATCTCATGCTTCCAGCCTCCAGAACTCTGAGAAATAAATTTCTGTGGTTTAAGTTCATCCCGCCCTCCATCCTGTTTGCAGTATTTTGTTATAGCCGCCTCAACTGGCTTAGACATGGAGAAAATGCTCTGGGATGGAGTCTTGCTATTCTTCAAGCCTTCAAGGGAGCAGCCAGGTTTTCAGAAACTTTTACTCTCTTTGGAGATTCTTGAAACTAGGCACATGAAGCAATGCCAGACAGGCAGTTAAGCAGAATTATTAAGAAATGAACTTTGGGTCCAGATTACTTTGGTTTAAACCCCTGCTTTATAATTTACTAGTTATGGGAACATGGACAAGTTCTTCAACTGCCCTGAGCCTCAGATTCCTTGTCTTTAAAAGGATGCTGTTGAAAGAATTAAATAAATTTGACATACATAAAACACTCACATGGTTGCTGGATACACTGTAAGTGCTACTGAAGTGTTAGAGATGATGATGACAGTGATAATAAAGGTGGAAGAGGTCAGAGAAAGAGAGATATGCAGAAGAATAAATATGTCAGAGAGCTTGAAAGATGCCAAAATTTCCGTGTACCCTCAGAGAGCAAATAATCTGCACTGGTGCAATTTAAGGACCCAAGTTGGAAAAGCTTCCTGAATGGGAGGTTGACATTGCATCAATGTCAAGCTTCCAAGATAAAATGAAACCCTGCTTCAAAGACAATTCCCCATTGGCATCATTGTCATTAAGAAGCTATTGTTGGGGCATCTGGGTGGCTTAGCCGGTTAAGTGTCTACCTCTGGCTCAGGTCATGATCCAGGAGTCCCAGGATTGAGTCCTACGTAGGGCTTCCTGCTCAGCAAAGAGCCTGTTTCTTCCTCTCCTTCTGCCCTTCCCTCAGCTCATGTGTTCTCTCTCTCTCTCTCTCTCTCTCTCTCTCACTCTGACTCACTCTCTCAAATTAATAGAATCTTAAAAAAAAAAAAAGGAAGCTATTTGTCAAGCTAGTGGTAGGCTCCAAAGAACACAGGGTATAAGCCTATGGATGGTCCAGAAAGTATTTCTATTAATTCTGATAGTTTAAATTATGAAACCAACAACACTTTCATTTATCACCTCATTTGCTAGGTGCTCCAAAATGGTCTATCAGTTTTTAAAAAGACTTCACATTTTACAAAGTACTTTTCATCTTCTTGGTCAGTTAGGTCTCAGAAACACCGTGTGAACCAGCCAGGGCAAGGGTTAATTCTACCCCTATGTTAGTAAACAGCAAACTGAGGCTCGGTGTGCCTAAGTAGGATGATGTGGTTAAGTAAAACAGGCTGTTTAGAGAATACTGCTTTGAGGGACAATCTCATGATAAAGGTACTCAATAAATCTGAGTTTATGAGTGAGGGTATGAGAAATGATATTAAGCGTCAGCATTCTCTTTTATTCACAAGTAAGTCAAACTGAAAACAACTAGAGGGAAAACTCAAACTCAAGTCCCAGGTCACAGTGGTAATAAGCTGTTAGGGTGCTGTTCCCTCTGTCTTCACCCTCACTACCTTATCATAAAAGCAGGTCATGTTATTCCATTGTGTCCTGGAAATGGGGGTGACCATGATCCCAGGGGGCAGATGATCAAAAATCAATCCACACAACTGCCAGTGACCAGTAAGTTAATAACAGGTAAATAGCCTGAAATATCACCAAACATGCTTTCATGCTGTGCGAGCCTTCTTAAACCAGTAATTTTCTTTTTCTCACAAAGCAATATTTATTTATAATCTTCCAGTTCTGTTGACTTTTGATAGCACCTCATCCTAAGCCATGACAAACTCTGCTGTTAAAATAACACCTTGGATAAACCATATGTCTCTTGGGGGTTCAGAAATGCTTTTTCACACTTTCAGATCTATGAACCCAGCAAGAGTCAGTAAGGTTTGTGGTCTGGATTCAAATGTTTCATTTATTTTCAAAGCAAAGCGAGAAAAGAGGAGCAGGTATGGGAGACCCATTTGATAGATGAAAAAAACCACAGACTTCAGGTCTCCTAACGTCCAGCCCAATTACACCATACAGTACCATCGAAGGACTAGAGAACCAAGGGAAGGTGCTTTCTCTATTGTCAATCTTTATGTCACTGGCAAATGTGTGGCTAATATGTGAGGTGACTTCAGAACATAAAGCCACTGCTTTGTGGGATCAATCTCAGGGAGAGAGAGTCCCCAAGGTATAAACAAAAAACTGCTAAGTCTCATCAGAAAAAAACTCTGGGAAGGCATTCAGATCTGAAGCCTGGGTCTCTGGTCATACTCACCAGGCCGAGCTGCAGTAACCATTTGCGCCTAGTGACGAGGCACCGAAAAAAAGTACAGAAACGAGCTGTAGGCACCACAGAGACAGTCTGTCTATTTCACAGTTCTGCTTATGGTCTGCATGCGCAAGTTACCATGTGTACCCCCCAAATAAATTTAGCTTCCTTCCCCATATTAGCTCAGAAAAGAGGAAGTTCTCTTATGTTCAAGTCCTTACACTGTCGCTCAGTATGGAGTAGGATCTCAATTAATTTTTTTTTAAATTTACTTATTCATGAGAGACCGAGAGAGAGAGAGAGAGAGAGGCAGAGACACAGGCAGAGGGAGAGGCAGGCTCCATGCAGGGAACCTGATGTGGGACTCGATCCCAGGACCCCAGGATCACGCCCTGAGCCAAAGGCAGGCACTGAACCACTGAGCCACCCAGGCGTCCCTCTCAATTAATTTCAATAACAAATTACACTTTGGGGTATTGATAGAATTCATCTGGCTGAATTAGCAAAACAAACAAATCCCACACATAGATTTAGAAACCAGTACTATAGTTAAGAGCTCAAAAATGCAAGGAATAACTCACTAGGTTTAGTAGGTCCCAGAAGGATCATATGAAGAGAAAATACAGATATTTCTGCTCTGATATGTAGTTTATAGCATGCCAATGTTCTCGCCAAGAACAATGTGAAAACTGCATAAAATTAAACAAAGAAAGGGAAGACCTCTTGAAAGTACTGGAGATTGCTAATGGGGCAGTCAGGGCTTGCAGAGCTGAGAGCTCAGGGTAGAGAATGCTGAGAGAGGAGCTAGTAATCAGTGAACCACTGTCCCCTCAGAGCCTTTGTCAGTTCTTGATTGGGAGCAAAAAGTGATAATCCCAGCTGAGCACATATGCGGGGGCACATATGCAAGGGCAAAAAAGTCTGCACAGCTTTTGGCAATCTTATGGTGTTAGAGAAACAGAAATTGGTATTTGGGGCTGCAAAGGCATCTAGGACTTATGGAAAAACTTTCAAAGAGAAGGGAAGCACAGAGAAGTGAGGCAGACAATGCAGTATTCCTTCCGAGATACTTGCCAAGTCCCTAAGCTACACAGAACAAGAAATTGAGCAGAAATCCCTTGAAAACTATAGAAGAGGTTTTGGTGGTCTCCTTAGGCTAAAGAGACAAAAATCAGATTTCAGATCCCGCCAAGGAAGAGGGCCAACAGAAAGTCCCTCACAGCTACAGTCTAGCAGTTAGGATGAATTAGAGGTTTAGTCTGAGGCTAATACAAATTGCAACTAGGCTTAGAGTCATTTCTGCCCTGTGGAATACAGTGATCTGCACTCACTCAGGTTGCACTCCAGAGGAGAGAGAAAACCTTCACAAAAGAAAAACATGGTCATCCAGATCTGTAATCTTTACATACACTGTTCGCCATTCAAATAATGCTTATTAAATATACCAATAAACAGGACCAAGAGAAAAACAGACAATAGAAGCAGGCCACAGAAAACATACCTTTAGCATATTATTGAGTTACCAGATATGAACTTAAAAATAGTTGTGATTATACAATAATCATGAATACAAATGACAAGACATACAGAGCTAGAATCTATTAAAATAAATAAACCAATTCAGTAAAAACCCTGTAACTAAAAAGTACAATAACTGAAATTAAGAACTCCATAGATGGGGGCAGCCCCGGTGGCACAG